GAGGGTTACCTGCTGACAGGAGTGTCTGAGCAGGGCAGGACCGCTGCAGGCTGGGACAAAGGCTCAGTCTTAGTGGACAAGACGCCACATCTCTTAGAGACGTCCCCTTGTTGGCACCCCGGGCACCACCTGAGTAGTAGACTGATGGTAGCCTCATTGCTGGCTCTTGTGTGGATCAGTGCATATAGTACATATTTTGGTCACATCACAGAATCACCTCTTTTCTGACCCTAAAAACCTGATAAACTGGGATTTCAGTGACACCAGCACCAACGGACATTGTAGATGAAAAGAGGTAGGACATCAAGAGAGAGCTTAGAAGGGACACCAATGTACAACCACCGGAGAAAGGCTGAATGTAGGGGTCTGGCAAACCAAGTTCAAGGGCACACCTACTGGTGCCCATGAGCCACCATGCCAAGGAGACAAAGGGCTACACAACAGAGAAGGCGCAGTGCTCATGGCAGATGAGTTTACGGCGGGACGTCAGTATTAGCTCTGGTGTTTGTGTTTGTGAAATAACACCTGGGCACTAGTGAGTCAGCCTGTGTGACCATCGTGTTTACCTACTGCCTGAGCTCAGAACCGCCTCGGCAGACCAGGAGGCGTGCCCATTTTCTCCAGAGGGCCTAATGGTCAACTCAGAATGAAAAGTAGCTGGCGGCCTCTGTTTACACAAGGCCTGTGGAGGTACATTCTTATCTTTGTTCTCTTCTTAAACTTCTTATATCTCTATGCACATTATTGTTTCAGCATCACACAGATTTTTATTTTCATACAGCAATTACATTTTCTGATTATTTCCACAGCTCGGATCCTTAGAGTGAATCTGTATCATTTCTAGTGTCTCCCTAAACTCCTCCTCAAAACTGCTTTCACCAGTTTACCCAAATCTCCAAATCTATATTCGTTCCACTGGCTCCTGTGACAAAGCTTTCCATCTCCCATGCTTCTCTGTAGTGAGGGGCACGCCAGAGCTCCGCACCCTGAGCCCACGTTCCTTGCACTCTGTCCCACTTTGGTGGTGACTAAAGTCAGTTATGGAGGACTAACATATAGACGGGAGATGACTGTAGCATCCCATGCCTTTCCTTTTTAGTCCTTTCTCCGGATACACACCACCAGCCTCCACCCATTCTGCTGGGCGGCCTTTGTGTTCTCTCTTTACCTTCCTTAATTGAGCCCACACACTGAGATACCTTCGTTCTACAAATGTTTTCTGATCCCTACTTTCTGCTTTTACTCTTGGACATCCTCTTTCCCTCCTTTTGATACTTGTTCAAATAAGAACATATCTCACATCTGTTTTGCATGTCCAAGGAACTTGTCAGCAATCCCAAACAAGAAACTGAAAGTTATGGCCTCTCCTTCTGAAAGGAGAGGGACCTGGATTCTGGGTTGGCCAGAAAAAAATCTAACATTTCACATATATGTTTGTATGTGTGTGTCTGTGTGATTGTGAGTCACTCTAGGTACATGTATCTTCCTCTCTTTTTAGTTTTGCATGCAATTTGGTTATATTTACTTTCTAATTCTGGTAAAATACACATAATCAAACTCAGTTATATTCAGTTTTGAGGATTTGTGCTAAACTGGGCTTCTTGGTTTGTCCTTGAAAAGTTCATGGTTGCTGATGTGGGAGAGTGGATGAATAGAAATAGTAGTCTACTGAGGATATTGACAATCACTGAGTCAAAAATTAATATTAAGAAGTTTTCAAACGTAAAAATTCACCAAATTCACTAAATTTTGTAGCTGTTCTGTTAGCATGTGTGAGATTGGTTGAGGTGTGAGTTAGGAGTTGGAAGTAGATTCTATAAAGAAGGCTGAACTGGATTCCTCTAAGGAACGATTTAGAGCCAGAATGCTTCTCATCTTAGGAAACAAGGGGCTTAAAAAAACAGAGTAATCTGGTGCCCAGGGCAGACCCAAGTTAAGAATAAGGTATGATCTCTGATCTCTAAGCCCTGAAAGAATAGAGGGCAAGGGTGCTGGGATTCTACGTAAGTAAGAAGGAGTCTGTCTACATCATTGTCCCATCATCTCCAATGGGACAGGGGTCACTTATGATGACTTCCGGGAACTAAGAATAAGTCATTCGACTGTGGATCCATTCCACAATCTTATATCTTATATCTGCTACTACATCTCTGATTCAATTAGTAATAATTCCATTTATATTGAGGATGTGATAAAAAGGTGCAGTGAAATATCAACTCAGACCTAAGAAGTGGCAACTTTTGTAGTCCAGCAATATCTGGGCAAGTCTTTTGAAAAGGAGGCACTGGTCCACTGGAAGCCTGTGTGTATGACAGTGGGAGATGCTCCCTGGAAAAGAGCTCATCCTAAAGTAAGGGCAGGGGTTGGCAGGGGAGACCGACCCAGTACCAAAGCTGGAGTTCTTGGAGGGAGGATGGATTCTGAATTCGGCTGGGTTTTTGGTGCCAGTATTTGTGTCCTGGATGAGGTTCTCTGCATTCTTTAATACAGGATATAACTGCTATTTTAGTGGTTGGTGAGGAATGATTTTACCTGTATTAGCCTTTGTGCTAAAAGTCTCTGTAAGACATCAAGGACCACGATACAGAACTGCAGTGTTGCTCCTCCAACAGAGAAGGAAAAGGAAATACTTGAGCAAGAGGCTTCCTCTCGCACCTCATTCATAGAGGTGCCGCTCTGCAGGAAACTGTGCCTGGGAGTGATGACAGGACCCTGGGAGCGGCCGTCAGGTCTGCCGCATTGTACTGTTTGGTGGATGAGACAGGACAGAGCAGAAGCAGCAGTGGCTGGCAGGTATTTAAGGGGGCCCATCAGAAAAAGGAATGGATCTCACGGATACTGTGGAATCCAGAAAAGGCACCATCCTTGGCAGGGTGACATATTGCATAGAGTAAACCGCGGCTGGAGTAGAAGAAGAAAACTACTGGAGTACATGGCCTGTCTGTACACACACATGCAAACCCCTGAGGTCTTCCCGAACTATGCCTGGGAGAGGACTTTGCAGGAGGTTTAGATCTTGGACTAAGTTCATGGGATGTTGGGGACATGATCGAAGAGAAGACCATTCATTCATTCATTTAACACTGCTGTCTTTAGACACTCTGGTAAGTACGGAGATAAAAATGCAAACAATATAAGCATTGTCCCTGCCCTCATTAATCTCATCTCTAATTAGTGTAAATTTTCAACACCAAACAATCGTGTGTGCTGACCGCCATGAGGATAGAAGTTCAGGCTGTGATAATGGCATGTAACAGAGGAATTAACCCTGTGGGATTAGCCAGAGATTCAAGGAAATCTTCCTTGAGGAATTGACTTGTGAATTAATATGCAGTGAAATCATTAGCTAGGTATCCAGGTAGAGAGGGAAGGGAAGGGTGAAGACCCAGGAGCAAGTCAGCACAGGACATATTTGGGGACCTGAGAGAGGTGGTTTATGTCTGAAAGAAGGAAGGGCAGTTGTAGTAGCTGAAGGAAAGAGAACACGCACGTTAGGAAGGTAGACAGGTATGTAAAGACCACATCACAACGGTGTTGAGAGGTTTGTAGAGTGACATAAACTTGAGGCTTTAGTTAGGGTAGTGGAAGACACTGATGGGTTTTAAGCTCAAGAGAGTGGTTTGTGGGTGGGGGCAGGGAGCAAACTGGAAAGGAGGGTGGGTGCTGCTTGGAAGGTGGCTAAGGAATCCAGTGAGAGACCAATGTTTGCTGGGCCATAGTGCTGTCAGTGGGGTTAGAAAAATGAGTAAGTTTGCAGGAATTCATTATGTAGAAATATGCAGGGGGCAGTGACGGATAAGGTGTGAAAGGAGAGTGTCTGAGAGCTGGTGAGCATGACTCCCGTATTCTGGCTTGGGCATCTGGGTGAATGGAAACCGTTTGCTGAGATGAGAAAAACGGGGGATGTCAGGTTTAGCAAACAAGTCGGAACGTGCTAGTCCCTCAAATGACAAAACATTCAGAAATAGGACCTGGAATAAGGGATGAAATTTTGTTGAGTGATTGGATTGCAAATGGAATATTCAGTGGGGGGCAACAGTGAAGCTCAGTAAGGAGAAAGGATTGCAGTGTGTAAAAGTCCTTTTCTGGGAAAGGAATTCCTTACCCTGGCATCTGGCCTTGCCTAAACTTTGACAAGCTCACGGGTGCAGCACGTGAGCAGAGGACTCACTGCAGAGGGGCTGCACTGCTCAGAGTCCTCTGAGCCGGGGCATCAGGAGGGCGCTGGTGGTGCCGGGACTTTTCCCTCCCGGTGGGTGGGCCTCCTGAGGGCGGAGCCTGCTTGCTCTCTGGCTGCCCTTTTTGTGCCAAGAGCAGCTGGCTGTGCAGTGCTGTGGTTAGACTGCTGGCACATAGGTACACAGCGGTCTGGTTGGTGCTGCTCCACTCCAGGGTCAGGGGGAACTTCCCCTTCTCTTTGCGAGTGACACTGTACCCATCAGGGACATCTCCCGTTTCAAACAACTCAACGCTCCTTGAAAAGTAGATCAGCCTTAGACCCAGCCCTGGGTCTTGTCGGTACCAGTACATAGCTTCATGGTTCATACTCTGAGAACAATTTATCGTCAACCTCTTTTGGGTCTTCGCGATGAGGTGTCTCGGGGTCTGGGTCACCTCAGCTTCCGCGGGGCCTGTGAGGGAAGGAGAGGGAAATATGAGAGCATGAAACTCATCATCAGAATTGCCCTTTCATACTTTGGAGGCAGCCGAGGAGGCCACTTGATGCTGTAACCTCCTGGAGACGCTTGGGGCCAAGGCGGCCTGTGTGACCCGCAGCCCACCTGCTCCCAGGAGACAAAGCAGGACGCAGTTCAGGAGCTGGGGGCCCATGGCCGTGGCACACAGTGGCTGCCAGTCCTGGGGGCACCAGTTGTTTATGCAATGTCTCCATCTCTGCAGCTACTGGGCCCCCGTTTTCAGGAGGAAGCCACTCCCCTTTCCTCAGAGGACTGAAGCGGAAGCCGGGCATCCACAGCGGCTGATGCGGGCGGGCAAGGCCGGCCATCGCTGCCATTTTCCTTGCCCACCTGTGAGGCTGCTGTGCATTAGACAATGTCTTCTTATACTCCTGTCAGACTTGGCAAACATTTCTGTATTTTGGATCTTTACCATGAAAATCAGTATGCCATATTGGACTGTCACTTAGAAATATGAGAACATGAAACTCATCATCAGAATTGCCCTTTCATACTTTGGAAGTCTTCCTTTCTACTCTGCAGAAAAAATTCCAGGTTTCATGCTGTCTTTGTCTATCTGCTATGTATTTGTTAGCTGCTACGTTTGAAAGTAGTTTTGTGTGTAAAATCGAGTCAAATCCACATCATGGATTATTTTATTGGTCAGTATCCTGTTCAAGATCCTAGATGCGGGGCTCTCTCCTCCCTAGCAGGCTAGGCTTGGGCGTGGGTGCTGGCAGCCGCCCGCCTGGAGTCCTTCTTTCTCCTCCCCTCCTTCCCCTGGAGGGTCTGGGAAAGGCAGAGGGGACGTCTGCTTGTTTCAGGTGCCTCCCGTTTCCACCAGCCGTCTCGGTTTCTTGCCTGCCTTGGGCGCTCAGCGTGGCTCTCAGCCCACGTTGCTCCACACGGAAGGTTCTGCCCCTGGAGGCGGTGTGCAGCCAGCCTGGGGTGTTTCCTCAGCTCCTGCCCCTTCGGCTGCTCTGGGTCACTCGTCTTTCCTGCACCGAGGTGACTTTTCTGGGCTTGCCCAGGATTTCTCCCCAGGACACCTTTGGGCCTTCTGTGCCTTGTTGGAACCAGATTATGTTTGGACGGGGAGAGGGGCGAGAAGGAGACTGCCCCGGCCTCCCAGTCTCTCCCGGCCGCAGTCAGGGCTTCACAGGGCCCTTCGGGTTGTGCCAGACCGTTATTCTCTCCAGGCAAGAGGTGGGCCCTCCTCCTAGGTGCTGGGCGCCCTCAAGTCTCAGGGATGGCTTTTCACCCCCAGCCCTCTGCATGGTGGAGACGCAGCTCCAACAGTCCCTATGCTGTGCAAGGGAGGGAGACGTGGCTGCTGTCGTGACCCCGACTCTGCTCCAAGCAGGGCCGTTCTCTCCCTTTGTGTTTTGGTACCACTCCTTCCTGCACAAGACTGCTGGAGGGGGAACGTGGCTGCACTTCAGCCCTGATGTTTGTGCCACCCCAGCATGCCCTCTGTAGCCGAGCTGTAGGTGCAGCTGTTCTTTTTTCCCAGTTTAATTAAATTTATTTATTTTTTCCTCTTTAAAAAATTGAAGTATTGTTGGTATACGATCTTATGTTGGTTTCAAGTATACAACACAGTGGTTCAACAGTTACCCATATTATTAAATCCTCACCCCCATTAGTGCAGTTACAACCTGTCAACATTTGAAGATGTTATAGAATCATTGGCTGTGTTCTCCATGCTGTACTACTGTTCCC